TTAAACAGACAGGTGGCCAACCCTGACTTGGCAGAGGAGTATGAAGGAGATCACGAAACGCTTGGGTGCTGTCGGTGCTACTCGCCTTCCAGGATAGGGACCGTGTGATCCTCACTGCGCTTGGTTTGAGACACTACGAGGTATGGCTGCCAACCGATGTCAGTGGCGTTTTTGTTGTCAGTTTCTATTCTGAGTGAATGTCTGGAGATGTAGGCATCTCGGAATGACCGTGGTAAGCTGGCACTAAGTCCCTTTCTGGTCCACCTTTATTCTTTTCTTTACAATAAGGCTTCCAAATAAATCATGCTTGTGCGGCAGTGAAGCATCGATGTTGAATACTGATGTCATGCTGTCGATGATGATGATGGTGATGATGATGATGAGTCGGGCCCCCTGTTCCATTGCCTGTTTGTGTTTGGACCCGTGCGGTGTCTCAGTGGTTGAGCTGCGAACCTACTGGTCGAAGGGTTCGTGGTTCGAACCCACCCCTGTCTAGGCTTGGGCAACCTGACAGTGTCTCGATCCTCATGCTTCTTTCTGGTGGCATGGCAGCTAGGCAGTGTTACGGTTGAACGAATTTTCTAGAACATCAACGAAATTTTGTGACAAAATTATATCGTGGTAATGCTGAAGCCCTTGGAATACTTGCCATCGCTCCCTGTACCTCCCAGTCGCCGTCAACAAGTGGACGAGAAAAAGTTGACTTGCAAGAAGCAATCGGATATGGCGTTGATGGGAGATTCACTCATTTGATCCTTCGCTGGGTTCCAGGTGTGTCTGGCGTCAAAACTAAGTTTGTAAGCAAATGAGTGTATTTCGGTAATTCACTCAAGTTGTTCAACCCGGGTGCAAATTACTATGGGACGTCTCAGGTTCTGTTTGTCTGTGTGCTCATACAGCAGGTTGGCCTAGGATTTCCCACAAAATAGTGTGATAGAATTCCTGTGGTTTTCCGCACTGTATATTTCTGTTTCATATGGTCTGTTTCCCAGTTCGGTCATGGTTCCATCATCAAAGACAGCAACATCAGTGTTGGCACTGATGCTCCGCTGCCGTACAACCATAAAGTTCGTTTAGTTATATATATATATATATATATATATATATATATATA